GATATTTCCATTGGTATGGAACTAATGACTATGTTTTACATAATTATAGCTTCAAATAGTGCAAATTTGAATACATGGGATCCTTTCAGGAGATATGTTATTTGAACTAATTGGAGCCTAGCAGTAATTTGGGGGTAGGGTAGTCTCTTGCATCATAAGAAGACAGTGGTTTATGCTTACTCTTGAAGACAGCTCTATAAACACATTCAGTTCCCAGTGGGTGAGTTGGTGTGACTTAGAGAGAGGCTTTATATCAAGGTTAGACTACCTGGGAATATTGAATGGTAATTTCCAGGGCCCTGTGTCTCAACAGTCTCTTGAACAAACCCCTTCCCAACCTACAAACTCTCTCAAATCCCATTCAATTCTAGATGAGGAGTAAGATGGGTCTTACTTGTCATACTGCCCCCCAAACACAAGTTGGATCCACCAGTGTATATATTCTTTGTGTATATTACCAACCATGTAAGCATGGGGATACAAAGAAAGGCAAAATAGTTGTACCTGCTTTCAAGGAGCTCATAGCCTAATGAGGGAGGCAGATGAAACGGAGATAATCAGCAGAGGATAGGCATTAGCACTAAAGAAGATAGGGAAAGAATTCCTGTAGAGGGCGGGATTTTAGTCAGGATTTGAAAGAATCCGAGAAAGCCAAGAGACAAATTTGAGGAGGGAAAGAATTCTGGATACGGGAGACAGCCAGTAAAAAGCATGGAATTGGGACATGGAATATCTTGTTTGAGGAATGGCCAGGAGGCCAGTGTTACTGGATCACAGGGTATATAGGAGGGAGTTAGGTGTAAAAAGGTTGAAAAAGGTTGGAGGGTGCCAGGTTATGAAGGGCTTTGAATGCCAAGTAGAGGATTTTGTATTTGATCCTAGAGGTGACAGGGAGCCACTGGAGTTTATTGAATAGAGGAATGATCTATACTTTAGGAAGATTAGTTGACAACTGATTCTAGAATGGACTGGAGTGGAGAGAGACTTGAGGTGAAGAGATCAAAGAGGCTGTTTTGATAGTCTAGGTGTCAAGTGATGGCAACGTTAGAAGACAGAAGGGAGTGTATAGGACAGATGTAATGAAGGTAGAATCAATAGGACTTGGCAACATATTGGATATGAGAGGTGAGAGAGAGTGAGGAGCTGAGAATGATAACTATGTTGGGAGCCTGGGTGACTGGGAGGATGATAGTATCCTTGACAGTAATAGAAAATTTAGAAAAAGGTGAGGGTTTGAGGGAAAAGAAAATGAGTTTAGTTTTGGACATGTTGAATTTAAGATGTCTACAGGACATTCAGTTCAAGATGTCCAAAAAAGCAGTTGGAAATTCTAGTTTAGAGGTAAGGGGAGAGTTTAGGGCAAAATAAGTAGATCTGAGAATCATCAGTATAGAAATAATCACTGAATCTATGGAAGCCGATGAGATCACCAAGTGAAATAATATACAGGGAGAAGAGAAGAGGTCTCAGGACAGAGTCTTAGAGGACGTCCATATAGATGGAGATCAAACAAAGGAGGCTGAAAAAGAATGGTCAGACAGGTAGGAGGAGAACCAGGTGAGAACTGTGTCATAAAAACCTAGAGAAGAGTAGCAAGGAGATGAGTGTGATTGACAGTGTCAAAGAGGTCAGAGATATCAAGAATTATTCTTGTTTATGAATTTAAGTGGTGGGGGAGAGGGAGATCCATCTAATCTAGGATTCCTGAGCTCACTGGGAACTATGGTTCAGTTCCCCCCCTCCAAAATAATCAGCAGATACTCCTTTTTTTCTCCTCCTGTTTTCTAGCACTCCTTTTATGATGTCTTTTCTTATTAGAATGGAAGCTTCTTGAGGGCAGGTACTGACTTATTTGCTTCTATTTGTAGCCCTAGCACTTAGCACAATCCTGACACATTTCAAGCTCTTAATAAATGCTCCACCTAACTAGCTCTATCTATCTGTCTATCTGTCTATCTATCTATCTATCTATCTATGGCTAGGGCTTTCTCCCAGATATAGCATGGGGGTGTCATTGTGTAGTTCAAAGGGGCAGAATAGACATCCCCAGCTTTTTCTCCTCTCACCCTTCTTCAAGGAAGAATTTAATTCCTGCCAGAATCAGAAGCAGGAAGTTAGGGTAAAAGGTCATCCCTTTGCTCTCTTCAGAAAGAGGAGATACTGGGACAGAATTATATCTTCTTTAAATGTTGTTATTCTAGGGGATGTATTTTTCAGGTTCAGTCTAACTTCTGATCGCTTTTTCATTAATAGGGGGAAAACAGGATCCTAAGCATTATATCTAGGTCTTAACCCTTTTCACATCAAATGAACAAATATGAACAAATGAGCAAATATCAAAGAAAGCCATTTATCCAATCTTGTGGAAAACAGAAATCAGAGAAAATTTACATGATAGTATATACAAACAATACAGAATGAAGGCACTCTCCGTTTGGAAACAAATCAAGAAAGTAACCTTGATCTCACCCAAGTGGAAGTTCCCCGAAGTCTCTGATGTAGAAAGTTGGGGATAGAGACATGATGCAGACAGCCAGCTCTTCTCATGTCAGTTTCTCCCCAGAGTCTATTCCTTCAGTAATCCGGAATGGGGTTGGCATTTTCCATCATTTCTCTCAAAGCTGGTAGCCAGAAGTGCTGGAAGTCCAAAGAAATTCAGAGACTTGAAGAAAACTGAAGAGCTTGAAGAATACTGAAGAGACTAAAATTCCCTGATCTCTACCAATAAGGAGTGCATCCCATACTAGTGGGTTCTGGGACTAGAGTCATATATCAATTTGCCATCCATCTTTCATCATTTTTGTAATGCTCTTAAGGTGATAGTTATATTCTAATTTGCCTTTTATTTATCTGTTTGAATATCTTTAGTTTAATTTGTCAAACACTTATCAAGTTCTTGCTAGGTACAGAGTATTACAGTAGGCCTTGAAGGTATACAAAGATTAATAAGACACCGTCCTTGTCCTCAAAGAGCCCATAATCTTGAGAGAGGAAGAGAGGATGTTATACAGACACAAACAAAGACACTAGCTGTGTAACCCTGGATAACTTAAACTTTCTCAGGCTCAATTTATTCATTTGTCAAACGAGGTTAATAATATTTATACAACCCCCTCCCTCACCAGGTTGCTGTGAAGACAATGCTTTGTAAATTTCAAGGAGGTATATAAATGTGAACTATTGTGATACAAAGTAGATCATGATAATCATTGATTATCATGGGATAATCAATGATAATCATTGGGAGGTCAGAAAGATCACCACTGCTGCATTGTGAGATCCCTAAGGTAAGGCAGAAACTTCCCACAACTCTCCCTTCCTACACCCAGTACCTAGTACAGTGCTCTGCACATCGTGATCAAGAATTGCTGAGTGAGCAAATGCATGAATGAATGAAATGAGTTGTGGATTGCTTTCCACACTGACTAGAACCCAGAGAAGAATAGTTAAGAAGAGTTCTGAACTTGAAGGCAGAAGAACTGGGTTCAGGTCTCAGCTCTACCATTGACTAGCTGTATGACCTTGAACAAATAACTCAAGTTCTCTGAGCCTCGGTTTACTCATTTGTAAAATGGGGGAGTTGGACTCGATAGTCTTTAAGGTACCTTCCAGCTCTGTCATTCTAGGATTCTAAGAAGCCCATTTTGGACAATCTCATTTTACCAACAACCCTAAGGACCAGGCAGACCCCCCCCCCCCCCCCCCCCCGCTGAGGGGCCTGGAAGGGAGGACTCATTTCAGTCTGGGGCCCCAGGGAACATCTCAGGTTTCCTGAGGAGCAGAGTCCAGTCGAGGGGCGGGGCAAGTTCCAGTGAGAAGACTGCCTGTGGTGGTGGGGAACCTCTTCAGGATTCTGGGACCACAGGGGTTTTGGCCGCACCCCTTCCCGCTGCTCTGTGAATGGAGAGAGCGAGGGTACCTGGGAGGGTGTGGAGAGGTCGGGGGTCTGCGAAGGTGCTGCTTCCCGGCGGGCAGCCCAGGCCCCTTCCTTCCTATCCCCTTCCCCCCAAGCGCTGTTAGACCCAAGAGGGCCAGAGGTAGGAGCCTACCGGCAGAGCCAAGGCCGAACCCCCAGTCTAGCCCTCCCTACCCTCCTCTGCCCCACCTGCACCGGACAGGAGCGCGCCTCCGTCAGTGGCGCGCCTGGGGAGGGGGGTGGCGACGAGGACGCGCTTCGGCGCTGGAGCGCGCCCCCGGGGGAGAACCGGAGCAAAGATGGAGGCCGGGCCGAAGCTGCCGCCAACGCTGAAGCTGCAGCCGATGCCGCCGCCGTCGGGGCCCCGGAGCCGAGGTGCTTAGGGTCCTCCTTCCCCTGGGCCTGGGTCCGACGCACGCGGTCCCCCATCCCAGGCCGGCGCCCCTCCGGAGCTCCAGCCGCCGCCTGGAGACTCGGACAGGTTCGTCTCCCGGCCCGGCCCCGGCCCCGGCCCCGGCCGCGGCCCCGGCCCCGGCCCGGGGCCCCGCAGTCTCCTCCGCCCGGTCCGCCTCCTCGGGGCTCGTGGCTTGCTGCTGCGGTGCTCCCCTCCGGGCCTGGTCCCCGGGAGCCCCTGCTCTTGGGCCGCGGGGCCCCTCGCTCAGCTCGGCTCAGCTCGGCGCAGTGCCTGCCAGGCTCCCCACGCCTCTAGTCCCCTCGCTCTGGCCTCCCCCCAGCCCCCAGCTTCTCCCCATCCTTTACCATTCCCCCCAGTTCCCTGCCCCCAGCGTCTTCTCCCCTGGGAAGGCTTTGGGCCTGGGCCCTGGGGCCCCTCCTCTCCCAGCCCCAGACCCTCTAGTCTTAGGGCCCCTGCCCCGCCTCCCCTGCCCTTCCGCCCCTCACTCCCACCCCTCAGCCCTGGGGTTCCAGGCTCTCAGGCCTTCATTTCCTTAGCTCCCTCCCCCTCTCCCCACCCCACCCCCTCTCTCAGTTCCCAGGCTCCTAACCATCAGGTTCCTGGCTCCTGGTCCCATAGCCCAGTGCATCCCCGCTCTCACCCTCTATCCCAACCCCAAACCCTGCCACCATGCTGCCATCCCAGGAGGCCTCGAAGCTGTACCATGAGCATTATATGCGGAACTCGCGGGCCATTGGGGTGCTGTGGGCTATCTTCACCATTTGCTTCGCCATCATCAACGTGGTGGTCTTCATCCAGCCCTACTGGGTGGGCGACAGCGTGAGCACCCCTAAACCCGGCTACTTCGGCCTCTTCCACTATTGCGTGGGGAGCGGGCTGGCTGGCCGGGAGCTCACCTGCCGTGGCTCCTTCACCGACTTCAGCACCATCCCGTCCGGGGCCTTCAAGGCGGCTGCCTTCTTCGTGCTGCTGTCCATGGTGCTGATCCTGGGCTGCATCACCTGTTTCGCACTCTTCTTCTTCTGCAACACAGCCACAGTCTACAAGATCTGTGCCTGGATGCAACTGCTTGCAGGTAGGAGGGTGGAGGTGGCCATGGGAGGAAACCTGGGAGACCCCAGGGCTCATGTACAGTGGACTTGAGGGTTCCTGTATCCCAGAATCCCTCCAAGTCTGCCTGTGCTGGCATTGGGGATACATAGAGGTCTTTGGCTCTATAAGAGGAAAGAGACAAAGACTTAAAAACACACGTTATCGTGGGCTGTCAGTATCACTTCATAAAGTCCCTTCACCTCCTCTACCTGATCCGGTCATTCAGAATCTGAGAGTGGGGTGCAGAGAATACTTTTTTAAGAAGTTCTGTTCTTTGGGCTCAGCCTTTGAAGTTGCATTAGAGTATGAATTAGAGCATAACTGGTGAGCATTATTTTATATATCAATAGCCTGTATTTGTGAGTTAAAGGTATCTTAGGGTATAGCATGGGGGGAATGAGCGTAGAGTATATATGTGTTTGTATTTGTGTGTAGAGTATATGCTGAGAATGCATTTAAGTGAGTGACTGTGGAGGCTATCTGTGAGAGAAGTGTGTATTTGAAGGGTGTGAATGTGGAGGGTTATGCAGTTAGAGACATCTTTTAAGCATCCAACACATACTTGGGACACACAAGTTAGAAAGTATCACTCATCAAAGTGGTTTTTCTGGGTCTTGTCTTCTTTGAGGAGGGTTCTGTTAGCTCACAGAACCCTCTGAAATATCTTGCCAAAGCATTATCCCTAGCCAGAGAAGAGGCTGTTGGGAAAGAGGACTGATTGCTGTGAATGTCTTCCAGAATCCATTAGAGTTACCCTTTTCGACTGGAGACAGAATTTGAAGACTCAGCTCCTCCCTGCATTTGTCTGAGTGCATGCATGGATTGAGGTGGGGGTGGAGTAGGATGGTGGAATTGGGAGGTGGGGGAGGAGGCATAGGAACAAATGTAAATGGTTGGGGGAACCCCGTCAGACTGGGGTAGATAGGATGAGAAGGTATGATTATAAGTGATGGGTAGTATTATTTAATAAAGAGACCAGAACTTCTCTAGCCAAATGAGGATTGTCTTCTTCAAAGCAGCCACCTTAGGAGGCCACACTCATGAGTCTGCTATTGCTCAACACGTTGTGAGAAATTCCTTTTTGGGAGCTGCCTTCGGAGCCTATGACACATTTTAACAACATCTCAATGATGATAAATCTTGGTCCTTTGAGGGTGGATTTTACTTTTGGAAGGAAGACAAAGTTAGTAGAAGTCAAAACTTATAGATAATATAGGTAAGCTGGAGAATCTTGGTGTATGGGTGGTGTATGTGTGTTTGAATATTTTGTGTCTGTGTGTCTGTCTGTATTGATGGTATCATTGGTGATAAAAATGAGAAAGAATTATAACGTGAGGTAGATTCTCTTGTGTAATCTGACTTTGAAGATGATTCCTAAAGAAGGGTTACAACAAAGTTATAAGGAGTGGCAGTCTTAGAGTAAGTACCAAGATCTCCCTCCACTCCACCCAGTGACTGCTTTGGTGTAGATAACACTTCATAATCCTAATCTGTTAAAAAGAGAAGTTATCACTCTGCAGTTATCACTCATATTACTTTATAGACACTGCAAATAGGCCAGTTTAGGGATGGGCAGTGTCTCTCTATGTTTAGTTGTCTAAGTGGGAACCTTTGCAGTACACAGAATGAGGATTCTGACTTCATCATCCTTATTAGGTTTGCATTTTATCCTTCCCCCACCCCAAACCCCCGCCAACCCCTCAGTGGCAATCTGGACAATGGCTAGAGAGGGTTTCTAGGTCTAGTATTAAAGTCCTCAGCCATTCTTTGGGAAGTTTTCAATGCTTTAAAGATTTACTGCTGATTTCCTGGTCCTCAAATCCCCCATAATCCATGGAAATTTAATCTTGAGGATTTGACATTTTTTCCTGGTTTGGTTGCTGTTGTCCAGGCTCTCTGAGCAATCACAGATTTACAAAACATTAGGACTAGAAGAGACCTTAGGGATCGTCTGGTCCAACTCCCTAATCTTACAGATGAGAAAACTGAGGCCCTAAGAGGTGTGATAACTTGCCCCAAGGTCACACATATGGCTTCTAGCAGAGCTGCAACCAAAACCCAGATCTCCTGAGTTCCAGCCCTCATGCTCTTTGTACTGTGAGAATCAAGGAGGGGCAGAAAGAGCTTAGGAGTTTGATCCATTTGCTTGAAGGTATCTGGACTCTCAGAGGCTGAGATTCTGTTTAATTGATAAATTCCATCTCCTGGGACATCATTTCATCCAGACATTTTGCAAGTCCCCTAAGAAGAAAAGGATCCAGTCATTCTTTCAGAAATCATAGCCAAGGATATAATGCTCATCCTTGCATTGGTATATGGTGCTCTATAATCTCTAAAAGGATGTTCATATTCATTTTCTTATTCTGTCCTCACCACAGCCCTTCAAAGCATACAGATGCATTATTATTGGCTCCATTTAATAGATGAGGAAACGGAGACCCAGAGAGCTTAAAAGCCTTGTCCAAGGTCACATAGAAAAGTAGTGGCAGAATCAGAATTAGAACCTGGATCTCTTGACTGGTAGGGCAGTGGGCATCCATTTATTTAATACATATTTATTATCATTTGGTGGGCTACAGAGTGGTGAAATTTTTGGCCATGGCAATTCTTAAAGTCTATCAACCAAGATTTAGAAGGGCTGTAATCTGTGTCAGTAGACAGTTTTCACATTGGTGAAATCATAGGCCCCTGAAATATTGAAGTATGGAAGCTGTTTCTTCAAGTTTTCAATACTTCCCATAGCATCTGGCTATGGGAAGTAGTCATTAAATGGGTGACATTTATATTGCACTACACAGGTTTCAAAGTACTTTACATGCATTATCTCATTTGATCCTCATTATAATCCTGTGAGGTCACTAGTATTAGTATTAACATTCCCATTTTACAGATGATAAAACTAAGGCTCAGAGAGGTTAAGTGATTTTTCCAAGGTCTTACAATGATAGAGCCAGGACTAGAAAGCAAGTTTCTTGAATCCAAGTTCAGTGATTTTTTTCACTACATTATATTATTTTCCATTATATGAAGATGTTTTAAGATGACTCTTGCCCTCGAAGCTTAGTTGAGATTCATTATGAGTATGTGTGTGCATGATATTTGTGTATATGTGTATGTATACTGTCCTGCAAGTCAAGAGACCCAGGTTCGTGCACATATACGTAAATATATTGAATGTGTATGTGTGTAGATATATGTTTGCATTTGTTCTATACTGGTGATTTCATTGATGTTGGGAGCTTCCAGGGAAGAAAGTTCCTCCATCAATATAGATCAGCACCTCCTCTGCAACTTACAGTCTTAGTGAATTTCCTGGGACATTGAGAGGTTCAATTAAATACAATTCAATAAACATATATTAAAGTACCTACTATGTGCCAGGCACTATGCTAAGTGCCGGGAAAATAAAAGAGGTAAATGACAGTCCCTGGCCTCAAGGAATTCACAATCTAATGGGGGTGACAACATGCAAGCACATATATACAAAGCAAGCTGTATTCAGAATAAATAGAAATGAATTAACACAGAGAAGACACAGGAATTAAGGGGTTGGGGAAGACTTCCTGTAGGTGGTAGGAGATTTAAAGGAAGTCAAGGAGGTAAGTAGCCTGAGTGGAGGAGGGAGAGCATTCTAGGCATGGGAGGAAAGCCAGGGAGAATGCCCAGAGCCTGAGACAGAGTATCTAGTTCATACAACAGCCAGTAGGCCAGTATCACTGAATTGAAGAGTGTGTGTTAGGAAGTAAGGAGTAAGAAGACTGGAAAGGTAGGAAGGGACTAGGTTACGATTGGCTTTGAATGCCAAACAGAGCATTTTATATTTGCACCTGGAGTTGTGTTTTAGGAAAATCACCTTAGTGGCTGAATGGAGAACAGTGAGGAGAGAATGGGGGCAGGCAGACCCACCAGCAGCTATTGCCCAAGGTAATAATCAAGGCCTGAGGCAATGTGACTTACTTATGCCCATGAAGTTATTATGTGTCAAGGTAGGAGCTAAACTCAGGTCTTTCTGAATCTATCCACTGTGCCATGCCATATTAGACAAAATTAACTAAGCAGTTAAGGATGTGTCATATCAACAATGTAGTCAAATAGTACCTTAAGAGGCCAGAGGAAGGAGAGAACATTTTTGGCAGATTGGGGTGGAAGGCCTAGGTGGAGAAAGCAAAAAATGGGGAGCCTCATAGGATCTAGTCAACCTAAAGGGAGTATGATTTGAACTCAGCTTTGAGGAATGGGTCAAGTTTTTATAGGGGGAGACACAGACTGGGAGAATTCAAGAGAAAGAAAATGCCTTGGCAAAGATCCAGAAGGAAAACCACAAAGCAAGTTTAAGAGATAATGAATGTAAGGGGCAGCTAGGTGGTACAGTGGATAGAGCACTGTCCCTGAAGTCAGGAGGACCTGAGTTCAAATCTGGCCTCAGACCAAACACTTGACACTCACTAGCTGTGCGATCCTGGGCAAGTCACTTAACCCCAATTGCCTTAAAAAAAAAAAAGAAAACAAAGAGATAGTGGATGTATTGCTTTTAACTGGAGCAGGGTTCATGTAGGGGAAGGAGGGAAAGAGGAGTCTGGAAAGGTCGGTTGGAGGAAGTTTGTGGAAGGCTTTGGAAGCTAGGATGAGGACTTTGGGGTTTGTTTTTTCTGAAGGCTTTGTGTGTGTGTGTGTGTGTGTGCCATTCAAGGCTCTCAAATATGGAAGCGATATAGTGAAATTAGTATACGATAATTAATTTTATTACAAAATATTTTAGCGGGGTTATAGATGCTGAGCTGCTTGTCCTAGAGAGGAGCACAGTGAGACACAGGAAGCCCTCATAAGATCTCTCAGCCACTGTAGACAGTATGTCGTGGACTTTGAAAGAACTCTGGGATACTCTCAAAAATCAATCTCTTGCACCATTTTCTTCCCTGCATTGGGCCTCAAAGTATGCAGGATGGGCAGATACCTAGTCAAGTGGGCTGTGGGCTTTGATGA